ATCACACTCTTCCTGCTGTCAGCCAGCAGTGAGCTTGTAGGAGTGACTGTCCTGCAAAAGGGCTGCATGGACCACTTCCGAAATGCCCTCAACTCTAGTGACCCCTGGGTAAGCTCGCATGTACACAAACAAAGATGTAACAAAAGAATTTTGAATACCGAACCAAATCATCTGTTTTTACATGTGTACCTCTGAACTTTTCTAGATATTATCTAACGGAAGTGCAGAAAACCCAAATTTCTGAATCAGTACTAGGTTTTTACTTGCCAGCTAGACGGTGGCTGTGGTCTGCTGTGCACTGTACGCACCTCTCTTCTGTTACCAAACCCAAACGTAGCATTTCCACGTGTGAAAAAGGGCATCTCTGAACAACGCCTGGGCTGGATCCTTCTCCCATTGTTCAGAGTTCATGCGTGAAAACAGCTTCACACTGTTCACATAAGTCTAGCTCAGTTAAGCGAAAGATGTAATTGTTGTTACCACAGGTTCAGGCTCGGTGTTACCAGCTGCTGTTGTCGGTGTTTCAACACTCCAGCCGTGCCCTCTCTACTCCCTACATACACGCTCTGGCTCCACTCATGGTGGAGAAGCTGAAGGCAGTGGAGCGCAGCCGCCCAGGGACGGCTGCTGAGCTGCAGGCTGTGCAGGAGGGAATCAGGGTCCTAGAGAATCTGGTCGGCATGGGTGAAGAGCAAAACCGTAAGTATTCCTCTGCTTAATGGACCAAGTGAAGCAACATTTGGTTCATTTTGTGCCACATTTACTCTGTTAAAGTAGATCTCTTCAGTATTTAGCTGTGCTGCCCTAGATCAGACTAATAAATAATTAAATGTTGAATTTAATGCTTTTCTAATTTCTAGTCCAACCATTCAAGAAAAAACTTTTTTAAAACGATTTTATTTCAGTTTACTAATAATCTGGCAAATCTCTGTGTAGATAATGACATTACATTGGATTTGTGGCCACAGTTCTGCTTCTCCTTTTTTTAAACTGTCTCCTAATTACTGATTATATATATATATATATATTTTAACTTATCACTGCTTTATGTGTTCAACAGGGGTGCAGCTGCTCGCTCTCCTTGTACCGACTCTCGTCTCTTACCTTTTGGATGAAAATTCCATCTCCTCTGCACCCCAAGTCTCCAAAGGCCTGCACGAGTTTGCACTTCAGAACTTGATGCGGATCGGCCCCCTCTATCCGGCTGCCTTCAAGATAGTGATTGGAGCGGCACCTGAGCTGAAAACCCGTCTGGAATCTGCTATACGGGCCAACCAAGCCAGCAGCAAAGCCAAAGCTGCAGCCAGGCAAGCTCAGCCAGCAGTGCAAGCTGCACCAACCATTAAACTCAAGACGAGCTTCTTCTGAACACTCCAAAATGCACCGCACACTCTCAACTAATCTTTTCTTCTTTGGATTTCTTTCAACACTGTACCACATGTCATGTCTGTATCAGTTATGCTTTCTAACTGCATTTATTTATTCTACATCTCTTCTTTGTTTTGATGGACGAGTACTCCCCTCAAAGAACGTTTATGTAAATATCTTTGAAAGCCTTTGAATGTTCACTTTAAAAAGCTTGCTATAAATTTTGTAGCAAATTTTAATTGTGTGAATGTATCATTTCCAGACCACACAATTTACATTTTACTTTCTTTTTTTTTTTTGTTCCCCCGTCACCAAACCCAGCTCCCTATGGAAGTTTGTTTCTGACACTTTTTTCAGGCAGAGCTAAATTGAAATTTGAAAAAGTCATCTCAAAACTTACTTACGAAGTATGTTTTCAGGTACAAACCATGACTTTTGACTTACAGAGGGCAAAAAATAAATAAATAAATCAGGTGGCAGAAATAAAATTCCAGAAAAAGTCAATATTTGCTCTACAATTTTCCCTGATTTTATTTTATTTTATTTTATTTTTTAGGAGGCCTTGGGGTCTCCAGGTTGTTACTGATGAATGTTACTTTAATTTCTTATGTTTTGTGTATTTTCTCAAATTATGTTGTAAACCTTCCTACTAATTGCTCAAAGGCATAGCTAATAAATTAAAGTTGATCAAACCAGTATCGAGACTAAAATTAGAACTAAATGATAAATGCATTATATTTTTCACTAAGACTCTCCAGTTATCTGCACACCAATCAACAAATAAATAAATATATATATATATGTATATATAAGTACTGGTCATCACATAGATTTTATTTTTTTTTTTGTTCTGATAAATACCCGTGTTTACTGCCTGCATGTGCTGGTGTTCACCAATGTCATCAATAACTGGCACATTTGTGTGAATGTAATGTTACACTCATTTTTTTTTCCAAAATATGAATAAACTTATTTTGACCTCATTGCTGTTGGAAGTTTTCACTACACTTAAATGTAATTGGATTAATAAAATAGGAATGCATGATTTATAGCTAAAGTTCTGCTACTGGGTCTGGACGTCCGGGCAATTCGGGTGAGCAAAACGAGCACCACCAGCCAACTCGCTGTAGGCGTGGAGTTTGTGGTGACGTCATTGGATGACAGCTAGCTGTCAGAAAGTGAGTTCATTCCCCCGAGCCGAGGAGACGGAACGCCGTCAATAGGTTTTTACCCTTCCGCTGATATATAGCACATCGAGTCAGCGAGACAACGGACCAAGCTTTCCACCGAGCCCGGCCATGGATGAACAGGCGGGGCCCGGCGTGTTCTTCAACAATAATAACAACTCCATTTTACCCGGCGGTGGAAAAGGACCTCTGCCCGATGGCGACGCTGGGGAGGCGGCTAGGGCGCAGTACAGTATCCCGGGGATCTTGCACTTCCTGCAGCACGAATGGGCCCGTTTCGAAGTAGAAAGGGCACAATGGGAAGTGGAACGAGCCGAATTACAGGTAAAAAAAAGCTGCATTTTTTCTGTACACGACAACATATTAGCGGCATTACCAGGGCTGGCCTTTTCTAGTAACTCGCGTTGAGTTTGTGTGTTTGATTGTTCGGGCTAATGGTTAGCTTGCTAGCTGTAGTTCAGAGGCTAAACGAGCTGCAGCGCCCCTCTCAGCCAGCTGCACGACGACTGTTTGCGACCTATTTACTGTGGCGAAAACCACGAAACTTACCCTCTACTTTTATAGTTTGATAAACTCGCTTTAGGCGTTTTTCAACATGATAATATATCAGTTTAAAACCAAGGTGATTGCTAGATTTAATGACAAAATAGTTCATGTGTAACGTAAACTATGGCTACTTGCTATTTCGAGCTAAATCTACTATCACCCTGTGTTTGTTTGAATCGTGCTTTATTCCCAGTCCCATTAAAAAAAATGATGTGGAGAGATAATAGCAGGTTTCTTTTATGCTCTGATCTTTCGGGAGCTGCCAGTGCTGACAGACGGCACACACTACACAAGAGAGTGCAGTAACTATGTCTTGTTTATGAATCTTATCGCAAGCTAGCTGCCATGTAAAGCCACTCCTGATGCCTGAATTTAAAACACTGCACGGCGTTTCTCTTACAGATCGAACAGGTCTCTCTTGTAAATGAGTCACTGAGTCTCAATAGGGCTACCTGTAAAAATAAAGGTTAAATTAAAAAAAAATATGTGTGGGGATATCTCCACGATTGGCATCAGAATAAATTATTCGCGGTTTATTTTACTTTCTTGCTTTGTTATATTTTATTTTAGGAACAAAGCAGGTTTTTCGTCCCATGAACTATAATTTTGTTAATCTGCAAACCTGATGCAAGCTGGGATCTTTAGTGGTGAGTTTGCTTAAACGAGAAATTGATGTCTGACAAAGTTCATCTTCTTGAGATTCTCAGTAAGACTAGAATTTGAATTTTCTCACTAGTATGAAGGTAATAATTAACCCATCACTTACTGCTCAAGAGTAATGTTATAATACACGAACTTATTATTTTCTTTTCTTTTTTCTTTAAATGATTTTGGCTCTTTCCCCAGACTATTTTTAACTAGGAGTTGAGAGGGCAGGTTATTGTAGATGTGCTCTTGTCACTGTACCTAATGTTTAAAAGATGTGTTTTTCTTTCCAATATTTTGACCTGGCTGTGGGGCGGCAGCTGCTGGATCCCAAACTGAACTTTCTGTGATTTTTGCAGCAGGAAGCTCCATGGATTTACTGACCTCAGCTAACAAAGGGAGGAGAGGGAGACACGGCATTGTTTCTAAACTGGTGACGTACCCTCATCAGTGTAGTAGGGTTTTGAGTCATCAGCGTCATGCGGCACTTTGAGTCTGGCTGAGGTATTGAGCTTCCTGTGTGCTGTCATGAAGCAAGCTTATCAGCGAAGGAGCTGCAACAACTGCGGTGAAGCACAGAGAGGCTGCTCTACGGATCTTTAGGTGGTTTATTTGTGGCGGCAAAAAGTGCGCGCTCAGTTTGAGTTCTTGTTTTTGTCATACGTAACCCAAGGCTGGTTAATCCTTTGAAAATCATTCTTTCTACACCAGACAATTGGCAACTTTTGGATTTGTCATATTTGTGCTCTGATCCTTGTGGCACAGGATGTACCTGGTTAAAATAAATCCTCTAGTTTGTCTATTGTGAACATTGCTGTTAACCTTAATGTCTTTCAGTGGTAATATTTCACTATATTGGATTATAAACGATGACTAACATATTACAAATCTTCCACATGGAGAGTAACCTTGCTGTGCCCTTGAGGAACACCTACTTATTCCACAGATATACATAACTTTTTCCAATAGAGGGGCTTGATGAGTTAACTTTCAGGAAAAGAGGCACAGTGAGGAAGAAAGGATAGCAAGTCATTTAAATGAGCATAAATAAACATGCATGAATAATGAAAGGCTGTTGTGGACCTAGAGCCTTGATGGAAGATACCACACAGCATCAACAGTGCATTCGTTTCTTCTCCACCTTATCCGACTGCAACATACCTCTCATAGTGTTCATCATCTTGTCTGCACAATGTCTTTCTTTTAGCTGTAGATTCAAATCTTATATGAGATCTTTACAAGTTTTGACAAGGTTGTACTTGTAGCGGTTTCATCACCTCTCAGGATTCCTTGTTCCTTTTTTTTTAATTACTGGTGGTGTAGTCAATGAATGGCAGACAGTTGGAGCTGTGTTTTATGTCACTGTTTGGGAGGAAGGCGAACCCAGGGCTTGTACTGTAGGAATGTTGTCCAGCCAGCCTGTTAGGTCATGCTCGGAGCCACTCCTCTTTACTGGAGCTGCACAGAAACTGTTCTCCTCTACCCAACCTTTCCTGCTGTTGTACATCATACATTCATGGTTTGACTACAGCAAAGTAATCATTGGTAAGAAGTGGACTGACTCAGTCGAGGTGATTTGTTGAGCTGGTGGTCATATGTTACAGCTCTAGTTATTCTTTAGTATGTTATCTTGGCAATAACAGTCGATGACAATAACTCCGAATAATCATTATTTCATTTCAACTTAATAAATCTTTTTAAATTATGTACAAAAACTGGTGATTGTTACATTGTCCACCTTTCCTATTATCAGAGCAGCTGTAAAAATTCCCAAAGATACTCAATTTAGAGTTTATAATAGAAATACAGCAAATACATGCATTTTTTTAATTGCTGAAGATGCAGCTAACAACCAATGAACCTGCCTAAATGACTGGAAATCACTTTTTCAGTGTAAATTCTTCAAATGTATAGTGATGGAGCTCAAGCGTCCTGTGCAGAAAACTGTAGCCACTGGAGTGGAAACGGGCGGCACCACAATATGCAAACGAGGACTGAAATGGTAACAAAATGCAGCTAGCAAGCTAAAAATAAAATTTTCCACAATGTCAAAGGGTTATTTTAGCAGTGAAATCTAATGTTGCGTACACTAGGAAGTGTTTTGCTAAGGCAGTTGTGAGCATAATGCATCTATCAAAGTTTTCTGAGTTATCTCCATACCACAGAATGCTTATTGTCAACTGCAGAAACATGTTAAGATAAAATGTAACTTCTGATAGCCTAAAACTTGAATTTGGTTATTATCTAGTAATCTGATACACATATAGATGTAGAGTAGACAGGAAAGTGAGGAGGAATTATGGTCAGAAAACTGGCTAGGAAGCTGCAACAAGGACTGGGTCACCTACTCGACCAGGTGAGCTGTAGCGGCTCCCCCCGGTTTTCCTATTTTTCCTGTTAATCCAGTCCCTGCAAGGGTTGGTGTCCGAGTTATAATAGGTTATAAAAACCTGGATAGAATTAACCAGAAGACAGCTGTACAGTATCCAGCATGAATAGGAGCCATGTATTGTGTCTATCAGTGTAAAGAGTTTATTGATATTATATACCATGGAAAAGAGTTGATTGATTTTTCTGTTTTTTAATTAGTCAGTGGTCTGATAATTACTTTCCAGTTGAACGCTTGAACAGTCACTCAAATTGACATCGGATCGGTCAGAGTAGCTTTTTGTTGTCGCTGAAACTAGAGGAGGGGTTTGCCTGTTTAGTTTAGCTGGTTTTTAATTTGAATGATAGAGAAGGGGCCAGTAAACCGAACTGACCTCTGGTTATTTACCAGGATCTTTACATACAATTCCATATTTAAACATCTGCATTAAAAGGAAAAAACATCATATGCTAATTGAAGTAGCTCGCATCCACCCTGCTGTGCTGATTACTGCTGATCTATTTCAGTTATGATGATTGAATTTGAATCAAAATGACTTCCTGTACAGGCCATCCACTGTGCTCCCTTAGCTGTCCAGTTATGGGGAAATCCCTGCTCCGTGGAGTATCTCCTTGCCAGAAGTATTTGTCAGCAGCCATAATTTGACACCAGGAGAAGGTTGAAGGTGACACAGGGTGTTGGATGGCTTCATGAGGGTGCACACTGAAATGTGGGCTGTCTTCACAGTATAGAAGCATCTCTTGTGTTTCTGCACCAAAAGCTTTTACCATGAATAAGATTACCATGATAAGAAGTCTCGTGCTATTTGATTACTTCACTCTGTGTGGACGGCAGCAGCCTAGAATTACCCTGCCTCCGGTAGATGACTTATCGCCGTGATGTTGTGTTTACTTTTACTAATGGCAAAACCTGAAGCATATTTAACTCAATGGTGCAGCAAAAAGAAGGACCGAACTGTGCACAAACATCTACACAAGCATGCCGTGACATTCAAAAATTCAGAAATGGGAGTCACCGTCATTCCTGAGTCGATACTATGTCCACCCCCAAGCTGAAGCTATTTTTGCCCTCTCAGTGTGCGCCTCTGAGTGGGAAAGTACAAAAAGTACGTGCTTCCATCCAAGAATATGGTAGTATAAGTACCGGTTTCTCAATATCCTTGCCTTCTGAAACTGGCAGAGGAAAGTTGGGCTCCCAAAGAAACACTGTGCACATTTTTAAGATCTCACAGACTGAGAAGGCAGCTATCGACACCTCGTATGAAATATTCCCTTGTAATGTAATGAGTAGTTTAAAGGGGATTGTGTTTTTCCTGTGAAAGAGCCCGACTGGATCTGTGTTTATTAACTAAAGCCCGGCCCTCTGAGCTTTGCTCCGCTGCCACCGTTGGACTGACACCAGAGCCCTTCTCTGTGCTCAAACCCCTTGCTCCTTTAATTCCTCTCTCCCCATTCACACTTACACCTTCACTGCCTACTGTTCGAGAGCTGCTCCTTCTATTAAATATAGGTCACATTCAATTAAATTTTACCACCAATCAATGCTTGCCATATTACAACATTTATTTCCTAACTCTCTCCCTCTAAAACAAATTAACAACTTCTAAACTCTACTATATTATCACCACACATTCACATAATTAACAAAATAAACGCTGTAATCTATAAATGTAAATCAAACTTTCAAACTACTACTAACCAAAAATATAGAAACACACACAATTCAGTCCCACATGCTCTTTCTT